CACAGCACTCACGTGCTTCCCGCCACTGTCAGTCACTCATCGCTGAGCCACTCCCCTCTTCACGAAGTAATAAACCTGGGTTTGAGCCTGGGTTCAGGCCTTTGTTGTGTTGACCATTATTCTAGCTGGACTAGGACCCTGTGGGCTCCCCACCATCTTGAATGTATGGTTGTGTCTTTACACCATGGGTTGTGCTGCAAGTGCTAGAGTGGAATTAACTCACCAGAATTCCAGTAATTGTCCTCTGGGATTACAGATACAGACTTCCCTGACTGTGATGACATTCAAATGGGCTCTCTATAACATTTAGAGAAAGTGCCAGTTACAGTCTACATGATCAAGTGGATTGGATCTTTTGAGGAGCCATACTGCAGTTGGAGTTTACATTTGAGATACCGATGTACCTTTGTGTTCTGTTGCTGCAGCAAATTCCCCAGATTTAGTGGCTTAAACAGCAAATGTCTTATTTCATTGCCTGTGGGTGGCAGCTCAGGTGTGGCTTTTTGGGTGCTTCTGTGCCTCACTTTCTCAGAGGCATTGGTCCTGGGGCAGCGAGCTGAGGACCCCCTGGGCAGGACTGACTTCGGGTGGCTCACTCGGACAGCCTCCACTAGGGGGCCTGGTCTCTCCATAGGCAATAGGCAGCCCTTTCTCTTCATCACAGATATTTACTGCTAAAAGTCTCAGTTTATGTCTTTTTTTTTTTTTTTTGGCTGGCTCAGGCTGCCTTAAGGGTGGGTCTGGTAAGCAGGTGGAGGTGGGGATCGAACTGTAGTATTCTGCGCCTGACTGCATTTGCATGAGCAGGCTCTTAAATGACTGAGCTAACTGGCAGGCCCACTCAGTTTATATCCTTCTTTCTTTTTTTGGTGGAACCGGGAATTGAACTCAGACCCTCATGCTTGCCAGGGAAGCACTTATTCTACTGAGCCATCTCCCCGGCTCCCAATTTATATCTTTCTGTATTTAATTGGCTGACCCATTGTGAGTGAAAGTTTTGTCTGTGGTGAGGTACAGGTCAAACCTTATTTTTTGTCAACTACCCAGTTGTCCCACATTATTCATTCTGAGTTCTTTCTCCATTGAATTAGGTTGATGTGTTGATTAAAGATCATTGACCATAAATATAGAATGTCTTCTTGTGACTTCATCTTTGAAGTGGTTTGCAGTCCTGTCTTCACTAAGCAAGTTGCTAAGTCTACCTTGCAGTCACAGGAATGGGGCTGGAGTTCTCCCCCTTTGAGGAAAGGGTGTCAGCATTAAGCTGTGACAGTAGTGAGCCAGGAGTACAAAGGAAGCAAAGCTCTGTGCTGTGAAGTGGCCGGTCAAGCTCCAAGGCAGAGAACTGGGGTCAGCAAAGACTGCTCATTCCACATGAGGGCTAAGTGTGTTCTCAGACGTCCCCTGGACACTTTCGATGTCATTCAAGTCCAGCAGTAAACCCTGGCTGGTCTGAGACGGGTTGCTTGTGACAAGGCAGCTCCTCGCTGTGCTTCCACTCTCCCCATGGAGGAGGTTTGTTGTCAGTGTCTGCAGGCGTAGGAGTCTCCAGTCTCGTTTTCTGATGCATTCCCACCATGCGTGCAGGTCATTAACAGTCAAAGCCTCTGAAGAGCATCTGGGGTGCTGTTGGTGTCTTCCCTCCTCCTGCTCCAGCCCTTAATCCAGGACACTTTTCTCTTGGGCCTTTGTTTTATCTTCCTGGATCATTGTATAGCACTATCCAGATGACAGGGTGACAGTCCCTCTCCTCTGAGCCTGTGCCCTCCCCACAGATGGCACCAGCTTCCATCTGTTGCCTCTGTTCTCTTGGGCACCCACAGTGGCCTGTGGCTTCTTTTGTCTTTGTTCAAGCTCTGGGCCTGGAGTCACTGAGTCCCCAGCTCTTGGCGCCATTTGGGGCTCACTCTGTCCCCAGTTGCTCTCTCTGTCCTTTGGGGAGTGCTTCCATGTTCTCCAGTCCTCCCCTTGCCTCATCTACTTCTCTTTTTCTCTCCTCCCATTGGCTCTGGCCAGCTCACTTTCACTGCCTCCTGGCTGCTTTCCACCCTGCACTGGAGGTGGGAAGCTCTTCCACCTCAACCACGTTGCTGTGCTTGTTCTGACACAGATGAAGCCACCGTCTTCCTCCTCTCTCCTCTTCTTCCTCCTCATCTTCCCTCTTCTTGTAAATTCTCTGAGAGGTCTCGTCCCCTCTCTTCTTCATGACTGCTTCTGCTGTTGGCCACCACCCCTGCATGGCCTGCTGCAGCATGGAGGCGGGGCCTTGCCCGCTTTGTTTCACAGCTGGACTCACGGTGCATCTTAGGATAAGGGTGTTGAATCCATTTGTAAAGAGTAGCAGACAGGCAAATGAGACTCTTAAACTACACATGTAACCGAAGGCTGCCACTTTGTAGAGTCGTTCTGAGTTACTCATGCTGGCTGAGCCTAACATATAACCATAAGCACACTTGTGCAGTAGCCTAGCCCTCCGTGCTGGAGATGAACTCTTGTCCTGGCGTCTGTGAGTAGAGTCCATGAGGCTTCCAAGCTCCTGTCCTGTTGCTTTTGGTGACCTTACAGAGCAGAGCGCAAGGAACAGAGCGCACTCCATCTGCTTGGAGATGAGCTGCTCTCTCAGAGGACTGCGGTCACGGTAAAGCCACAGTCTCAGCACATCCACTGCTCACCCTCATGCTGTCTGCCTTCCCAGGAGCACATGAACTGGAGCAGATGCAGCTGATTCTGGAGTCCATCCCTGTGGTGCATGAGGAGGACCGGCAGGAGCTGCTGAGTGTCATCCCCGTCTATATCCGAAGCGACATGACTGAACCACACCGGCCCTTAACGCAGCTGCTGCCGGGGATTGGCCGCGAAGGTACTGCTGCTTCCGTGCACAGTCGTGTGAATGTCTCTTCGTGTGCATGCATGTGTGTGCGCGCATGTGCACATGTGTGTGCTTTGCACAGTATCGCACTAGGTCACGTGTCCTCTAGCAGTCTGTGCAGGCTCTGAGGGCCGCACCTGTGCTCTTTCACCTGGCCCGAGAGGGGGCTCTTCACTGCTCCTCCAAGTTACCTCAGGCCCCATGCTGAGCCCTTCCTGCTTCCCTCCTGGCTCCAAGTCATGAGCCCTGTTAAGCCCAGGAGTGGGGCTCATGATGTAGTGGGTGTGAGCAGGAACTGCTGGATGTGTGCAGGGAAGGAGTTAGGAGGGTCAGGGAGAAGAACAAGTGGAGTGAGGCGCACATGGTACAAACAGGGAGAGCCACGGCAGCCACCCTCTACATCGAGCGGTGATCCAAGCAAGATGTGGGTTCTTTCGTAACAGTTGAGTACTAGGAACTAATAGAAAGTACTTGTCTTTTGCTAGTAGGAGGCAGGTTTACCGAGTACCTGATAAGGGCTGGGCCCGGGGCTTGTGGTGGACCCTGTGTCCATGTGTGGTCTGCATCTTCAAGCTGCTTTTAGCCTGAGGTCATGCACTGGGTGTGGTGTGCTCAGTGTGTGCATGTGGGCATCTGCACAGCTTGTCAGCTCTCTAGGAAACCTAGAAAATGCCAGGGTGGTGTCCTGTCATTGCGACACTTGGGAGTTTGAGCCCAGCCTGGGTGATTCAATGACTTAGCAAGACTCTTGTCTCAAAAAATAGATACCAAAAAAAAGATACGAGCTGGGAATGCAGCTCAGTTTGAAGACCTTGAGTTCCATCCGAGTGCTGTAGGGAAAAAAGCCAAGAAGTCTGGGTTAATAGCCTACACATACTAAGCTTGCTGTGGGTCACACACCCATGTATCACTCAGTATTATGATTATTAGGATTATTATTAGTCCCAGCCGGCCTTGAGCTCACAGTAATCCTGCCTTAGTCATCACCATGTGTGGCTCTCCACTATCATATGTGGCAAATGAGTAAAGTAATCAGGATTTTGAAAATAGGCAGTTTTTATTTTTTCCTCAAATGCACTTGGGACTTTGACATGTATGACCATTTTTGATCAACAAAGCCTGTTTCATGTGGTGTGGTTAACATATGCCTTTGCTTAATCTGTGTAATTGGCCCTAAATGAGACTGGAGAACATTTCAGGTATTTGTTATTGATTAAAAAAAAAAAAAAGACTTTTTTTTTTTCTTTTTTGCGGAACCAGGGATTGAACTCAGGCCCTTGCGCTTGCCAGGGAAGCGCTTATTCTGTTGCGCCATCTCCCCAGCCCAAAATGTCTTTTTTATCCATTGGGTAGGTGAGTTAGCTTCATTCATTCTGTTGACAGCAAAGCGCTCCCTCTTGGTGAGGTGGCTGCATACGTTTGTGGGAGCAGCCAGAGCTCCTGGCCCGCCAGGCCTTTTCTCAGCGAGAGCCACACCCGCAGCTTTCTGCACATGGCCAGCTCTTCCCTCAAGGCCACCGCCTCTTTCTCTCGCAGCCTTGGACTTCCTGGAGCAGATCCTGACGTTCAGCCCCATGGACCGGCTGACCGCAGAGGAGGCCCTGTCCCACCCGTACATGAGCATGTACGCCTTCCCCACTGACGAGCCCGTCTCCAGCCACCCATTCCACATCGAGGATGAAGTTGACGACATTCTGCTCATGGATGAAACTCACAGCCACATTTACAACTGGGAAAGGTAAAGGCGCCTGGGCAGAGACAGGGACTAGAGTTCTCAGGGACCTGCGTGCCCAAGCTCTGGCGCAGGTCATCTGTGGGGAAGACAGTGGGTTTCTGCTAGACATGCGAGGTCTGTAGAGCCTTGATGCAGCGTAAGTAATTAAATGGTTACTGTGTGGGAAATAGGTAACGGGAAGCATTATATGCTGCTTTGGAAGCAGTCATTAAGGCACATTAATAAAATAAGGTCTGAATAGGAGGTTTTGGAAATCTGAGCCTGGTGTGAGTGTAGGTTTAGGTGTGTGGTGGGAATTAAACCCAGAGAGCTGAACTTTGCCCCAGGCTTTAATTTTTAATTTTTTTCATTTTTAGACAGGATCTCACTAAGTTGTCCAGGCTGGCCACAAACTTGTGATCCTCCTACCTCAGACTGGAAATTTGAGCATCTTAAGCTGTTGATTTTAAGAATGTCACACTTCAGGGTGTCACCCACAGCATTTAGCCATTTGTTTCTGCTGGCAGTTGAGCCCAGGGCTGTGCACCTGCTCCCGCGTAGGATGCAGCCTCGCCAGGCCTGGGAGTCTGCACAGCAGCTCAGGTCAACCCTGGCAGGTGACAGTTTAGTCTGTTTCCTTGGTGGCACTGAAGTAATTCAGGGTACTTACTTGAGGTTCAGAGTAGAAGTTTGTCCAGTCTGAACACTGTGATGTGGAGCACTAGGCTAAAGTGAAGGGCTCTTTGCCCTCAGCCTCCTCCTGGGTTCTGGGTTCTGAGGAGTTGAGGCATGAAATTCTGCTGCAGACAGCAATTCACTTGGAGGAATGAACCATTGCTAATCCAAAATCTTCAGCTAGCAAGAACTGGCAGGCACTCAAGAGTTTCTCAAAGTTCATGGGTTTTTATGTGTAAAAAAAAGTTTGTCAGTCTCAGAAGCAGTTCATTTTCCCTCCCAGGGGGGGTGTTTGCGCTCTCGCGCACCTGCCGGCTGCCGCCTCCTCATTGCGCTCCATCTTCTGCAGCCCCGAGTCTCCTAGCACCCCTGCCCCGCCCTTGGTGTGCAGCATGTCTCCAGCAGGCACGCAGTTCAGGCACCTTACTGGGTGTATGTGGGGAGTCTGTCCTTTTGCAGCAGTGGAACTGGGAACGTCCCTCACTGCTCAGCCTGTTAGCAGCAGAGTGGAGTCTTCCAAGGTCCCAGGGAGGATGAGAGTCCCACTGCCTGTCAGGTCTTCTGGGGGACCTGCAGCTGTCTGTAGGTTGCGGGTACAGATGAAAGGTAGGTGGAGAAGTATGCACTTAGAGAGAAACAGTGTCCCTCCTATTGGAGAAGGAAGGGCTTGGGTTCCTCATGAGATCGGTTTCTCCGCCTGTAGTGGCCTGGTGCGATTCCCCATGTGCTGGGTGGTGACAGCTCTCGCCCTGGGGCTTGCTTCCCCATGGAGTGGCACTGTCTCACAGAAAGACCAAAGTGCACTGGACATGAGCTGGTGCCCAAGGAGTGATGTTTGCGCTGCCCTTTCCTTCCAGGTACCATGACTGTCAGTTCTCAGAGCACGATTGGCCCATACACAACAACTTTGACATTGATGAGGTTCAGCTGGATCCCAGAGCCCTGTCTGACGTCACTGATGAGGAAGAAGGACAAGTGGATCCTCGGAAGTACTTGGATGGAGACCGAGAGAAATACCTGGAAGACCCTGCTTTTGATGCCAGTTACTCTGCTGAGCCTTGCTGGCAGTACCCGGATCACCACGAGAACAAGTACTGCGAGCTGGAGTGTGGCCACACCTGTAACTACAAAGCGCGGTCGTCGTCGTACTTAGATAGCTTGGTCTGGAGGGAGAGCGAGGTGAACCATTACTATGAGCCCAAACTTATCATAGATCTTTCCAACTGGAAGGAACAAAGCAAGGAGAAGCCCGACAGGAAGGGCAAGTCCAAGTGTGAGAGGAACGGTTTAGTGAAGGCCCAGATAGCGCTAGAGGAGGCATCCCAGCAGCTGGCGGAGAAGGAGCGGGAGAAGGGGCGGGGCTTTGATTTCGATTCCTTTATTGCGGGAACTATTCAGCTCAGTTCGCAGCACGAGCCCGCCGATGTTGTGGACAAACTGAACGACCTGAATAGTTCCGTGTCCCAGCTAGAGCTAAAGGGGCTGCTCCCCAAGTCGGTGAGCCGGGAGAAGCAGGAGAAGGGCATGGCCAACTTGGCCCAGCTGGAGGCATTGTACCAGTCATCCCGGGACAGCCCATATGGGGGAGGCGGGGAGGAGCGGTTCCTCATTGAGCAGTTCTGCTGTGAGGTCAGGAAGGACGAGCAGGTGGAGAAGGAGCTGTCGTACACCAGTTACTTGGACAGGTTCTTCAGCAGGAGGGAGGATGCCGACCTGCTAGACGCGGAGCCGGCAGAGGGCGGGAGCCGGGGGGAGCGGGGCAGCGGGGAGCTCCTGCTGGGGAAGCAGCTTGAGTGTAGGGGCCTCCCGCAGCTGCACAGCCCCGCGGGGTCCCCTGGGAAGGCGGCCCCGCACGTGCCCCCACGGACCTACAGCCACATCCTGAGACATCTGAACTAAACACTCAGCAGACCTTTTTGTGTTCCTCATGAAGTGCGTCTTGTCTTTTTTATTCCTAGTGTTTAAGTCATTTTTGTTACTTGAATCAGATGGTGTCCTTTAGTAAGGATTTTGTCAGTTCTCGGTTTTTAAAAATCCAGACTTTTTTTCTACATGTGAGATTGTTTTCATTTTACCTGGCATGTCATTTGCACACAAAAAGAATCGAGCAAATAATGCAATGCAGGAAGAGACAAAAAAAAAAAAAAAAAAATGCACTAAGACCAGTAAACACATTCTCTCCTAGAACAGTGATCTGTTTTACAGAAACAAAACTCTTGCCTTGAAATTTACACAGTGAGACTGTACAGAACTGCATGGAAATATCTATTTTTTTCCTGAAACATTTTTCATTCATTAGTATTTTCAAGTTTTTCATACTGTACACATTTCTTAAAACACATGATACCAGCAGCAACTGAAAATGAATGCCGAATTTGGTACACATGTGTTATCTACCTCAAGGTAACAGACGTATGTGGCGAAACCCTCACAACCCATAGTGCTTCATGGTGTGACTCGTGTTCCGCCAGCGCCCGTGTAGGAGCCGTTTGCTCTCAAGACCATTCGTTGTCTGTGTGCGTCCTGGTGTTCATCTTTAGAGTGAAGTGTTGATACATCACATCTTATTTATTTTAGCAAAGCAGTATATTTTCTGTATTTAATGATAAAAGTTAACTTAGTTTTTAAAAGTTTATTTGCAACTACACTTTATGCATTTGGCACTATGGTTTGTCGCCTCCGTAGCTGAAGTATCTGTCAGCTTCGCTCAAGGCTGTCTCCACGTACTGAAGTGTTTGTTTGAAATAAAGTACTCACTGTGTATAGGAATTTGTATTTTGGAGGTGCTTGATCTATCTACAAAGAAAAAATTAGGAATTACTTTATTATAAAATGCTCCTAGAAGTCTTAATTGTGTTTATTTTTTAAAAAGGTGTAATGTTAGACTTGTGTGCATGGAAGTAATTAAGGTACATCATTATTGTAGTTCAACAGTTAAAACATAAGACAGTTTCTGTTTTTACTATATGTTTTTACCGAATGATCTCCTCCTTGTCCCAAGGCAAGCATGAATAAAATTAGGTTCAGTGTAGCATGTGGCATCTCAGTCTCTTAGCATTTGTTTCATTTGTTTTACTTTCCTGAATACTGTCTGTATCCTTGGCTAAATAAAACCTGCCCAGCACATGTGGCTCCTGTCTTATTCTGTAGGCAGTGGTACGCCCTGCTTGAAGAGAGGTCATCGGGCCTGGGCTCTCCAGGTGGTGGGGGTGAGCCGTTGGTCTGAAGGGCTCTGTCCAGAAACTGTTGACTTCATCTGCTGGGAAGGACAGCTTATGTGTTGCAGAACCATGACACAAGCTGTGTGCAGGCGGAGGCAGGCCTCTGCAGCTTTGCCCTGCGCCCTCCCACGGCTTCACCTTGCCCTGGGCCGCCTTGCCTAGTGGGCTGTGCAAGCTGGGTTTCACCTGCTCAGCTGCACCCCTTCTCCCCAGGGCTGCAGCTTTCAGGAAGTACAACCCCGCCCCAGCCCCACTGAGCTGTGGCTCTGAACACAACCTTGGATGACCCTCCCCTAAGGCACTGCACTGCAGGTGAAGCGCTTCGTGGGAGTGGGAGGGAGAGCTTCGGGAAAACTGGGCTGTGTGGTTGGAGTCCAGGGATGCTCAAGTGACTTGCAGGAGCCAGCCCCATGCACTGTGGCTCCGCATGGTCTTCCTGTCCTGAGGACGAAGGCTGGCTTCTGTGCCGGGTCCCAGTGTGGGGGACGCCCTGGACGGCTCTTCTTGAAGCAGAGCATTTGGCCCTAGCTCCATGCTGCTATGTACAGAGCTGGCCGCTGGGGTATTTCTCCATCCCCTCAGTTGGCCTGAGCAGTGCAGATGGCTCAGCCAGACGCTGATGTGTAGTCTTTAAAGCAGGTGACAGGGCAGTGATGCCCTGCCCACAGCTCCCAGGTAACGCGAGAGAGCCAGGCTGAGTGACCCGTGCTGTCTGCTGGGACTGAGCTTCAGGAAAGAGGCTGTGACATCTCAGGGCATGAGTTACACGTCAGAGCTGAAGCACCATGCACCAACACCCAGAACAGTAGGTACCGCCCCAACCTGTGATGTGCAGGGCGCTCTTTCCGCATCTCTCTGCTTATTGCAGAGGCGAGTTCGGGCCTCCACCCCAGCCCAGCTCACAGCACTCACGTGCTTCCCGCCACTGTCAGTCACTCATCGCTGAGCCACTCCCCTCTTCACGAAGTAATAAACCTGGGTTTGAGCCTGGGTTCCAGGTAGCCATTGTTTTGACTGGACTTAGGACTTCGGGGCTCTCCACAACTACAAAATATGCCTTCATGTATATTCTCCCCATGGGTTGCACTGGAAGTATAGATTGGAATGAGTTTACTGGGATTATAGTAATTTTTCCATAGGATTACAGATGTGGTCTTTCCTGGACCTGGTCATGGTCTAGAGGGCTCTGCCCAAGGGCACCTGGCGCTTTGCCATTGAGGCTGTCCCCATCTGCCTTGTTGACCACTGCATGCCTTTTTTTTTTTTTGTGGTACCAGGGATTGAACTCAGGACCTTGTGCTTGCTGGGCAAGTGCTTATTCTACTGAGCTATCTCCCCAGCCCTGCAAGCTTTTTTTAAGCATGAGAGGAGGGAGCGGGCAGCGAGGGCCAGCGCTGTATGTACATACAGGACCCCACCAGCAATTGGATGGTGAACTCGGTTCCAGTAAGAGTTTGTAGTTTTCCTTTTGCTTCTTCTTTAAACAAGTAGGGGCAGAGGTGGGCAGGGAGCACAGCTTTCTGTTCAGGACAACACAGGTGTGCATTTAACCTCTGACCTCTGGAAAGCTCACTGCTGCCTCAGCTTCCTGAGTCCAGCATCCTCCAGGTGCCAAGAAAGGGCTTGGGGCTAGGAGCTTGGGACCCAACCATCCTGGAGCTGTCATTTAATTAGATGTGTCTTGCTGCCCTGTAGTGGCCTCAGTTGATGGCCACGTCAACCCTGCTTCTGTGACATCTGCACGTCCCTTTCACGTTGGCCATGTAGTTGTTCTCAGTGTGCCTTCCCTGTTGGTTAGCAGAGCAAAGGAGCATCTGGGCTCCAGGGCATCGCCCTCTGAAAGAGCATGCTGGTGCCAGGCAACTCTGGTCACCACCTCCTGCCCCGGGAGGAGGGCACCCATCACCTGTCAGTCACCCTGTGGGTCACAAAATCCTACAGGCTTTGCTTCCTCTGAAAACTCTGGGTGTCATGAGTGGCCTCAGCCTGCTGCCCTGGCCTGTGTCAGACAACTGGGCCTGCCAGATGCCTGCACAGAAACCCCCAATCCTGTGCCCTACGTGGGAACAACACTGACCTGTCACAGCCTGCCACTGGAGGAGTGGCAGGAGACCTTTCTTCTTCTGCAAAAGCATGTGCCTTGCCTCCCCCTCCCCCATGTCCACAGCCTGACACTGAGCTCCGTGACAGCAGAATGGAGGCATGAAGGAAGCTGATGTCATCCTAGTCCTACTGTCGGTGCTCTGATGGTAGCCCGAGGTTGGCTTGTTCTGGGGATACTCCGCGGAACTCCTAGCTCTCCACTTTCTAGAATGTGCAGGGCATCGGTGACTCCAGGGGACCTTAGAGGGGACTCTCTAGATTCCTTACACTCTTAAGTCTTAGCATCAAGCAGCTGGCTGTTCTCAGGAATCCCAAGTCCAGTCTGGCCATTTTTTTCTTTTTAAACTGGTATTTTATTTAAACTTTTTTTTTTTTTTTTTTTTAAGGGCTGGTGAGATAGCTCAGCAGCCCGAGTACCTGCTTAGGCAAGCGCAGGGACTGGGGTTTGATCCCTGGCACCACAGGCCTCACCAGCCCTGCCCCTAGGAGCATTGAGCCAGCCACTGAGGCCAGGTGTGGTGGCGCATGCTTGTAATCCCAGCACTGGGGAGACTGAGACAGAGGGCTTGCTACAAGTCTGAGCTGTGTAGTGCAACCCTGTACCAAATACACAAAAAATAAATAAAAAAATTTTTATGTGGCCCTGGAAATGGAGCCCAGGGCCTTCTGCATACAAAGATAAGAGCTCTTCTACGAGTCCCAGCCCCAGCCTGGCTGGTTTCTGATCTCTGCATTTTGCGTGAGTGCAGTTCAGGTTGGCGGTCACAGTACTCCTGAGTCAGCGCTGTTGGCTTCTGTCCCCTGCCTGGGGTGGCCGCACCTGCCAGGGCTCCATAAGGCAGCCGTGACCCAGTTAAGGCTGTGCCACGTGGCTTGTTTCCTATTCATCCTGTGCAATGAGCCAGCCTGGGCTACTTGTCCGATCCAGGATCCTTGGTAAAAAAACAAAAACAAAAAAAACCCTGCCTTTGCTGCCCTTGAAGAAAAGGATGTTTTTTAGGGTCCCAGGTTCCCAGGGGCTGAGAACTGGGTGTCAGCAAGAGCTGGACCCAGGCTGAGGGTGAGCCCACAGTCTGTCTGTCTGTCTGTCTGCCTGTTCATCCCTTGGTCTAGCACCCCCCCCCCGTCCAAATTCCTCTGAGAGGAAGTGATCTTGGTCCACCCTCGTGTACTGGCTGAGGCCAGCTGGGGTACCTAGCGGAGCCAGCCTGTCTGTCTCTCTGTCTGTCTCTCTGTGTCTGTCTCTCCCTGTACCTCCACCTGTCTCTGTCCTGCTGGAAACTGACCCAGGGCCTTCACACTGGCCCACATCCCCAGCCCTTCTTTGTTTCTTATCTGTGTGGCCCAGGCGGGCCTGGACTCGCAGGGCTCCTGCCTTTTTCCTGTTGCTTTGCAGCCAGCTCTCATGCGGGTTCTGTGGGCACCACTTCTTTAACTGGGGCACCCCAGGGCCCTGAAGGCCGTGACACGCCGAGCTTATCTCCGCTGGGCTCCCTGGGACAGTCAGTGGCCTATTGGGCACAGCGTTGACGTGAGCACGGTGTGTGGTGATTGCAGGGTACACGTCCACATTCTGTGAGTTTCACAAGAACTTGATAGAAGCACGTGCACCAAAAGGGCCCACGTGTGATACAGTGGTGACTAAGGCTGGAGCTCCCGGCACATCCCTGGCCCTGACAAACACAGAAAGAAAGGATAAATTAAGTAACTTACCCAAGTCTGAGTAGTGGTAAAACCAGTACTAGAATTCAGGTCACCTGATTCTTAGATGTTTCTTTTGTTTTATTTTGTTTCAGATTTCTTGCATGAATAAAAGCAAATTCAACTT